GCCAGGGCATTGCCACCGCTGCCAGGGCATTGCAGAGACTGACAGAGCATCCCCACTGCTGCCAGGGCATTGCAGAGACTGACAGAGCATTGTAGAGACTGACAGGGTATTGCAGAGACTGATAGAGCATTGTAGAGACTGACAGGGCATTGTAGAGACTGACAGAGCATTGTAGAGACTGACAGGGCATTGTAGAGACTGCCAGGGTATTGCAGAGACTGATAGAGCATTGTAGAGACTGACAGGGCATTGTAGAGACTGCCGGGGCATTGCAGAGACTGACAGAGCATTGTAGAGACTGACAGGGCATTGTAGAGACTGCCAGGGTATTGCAGAGACTACCAGGGCATTGCAGAGACTGACAGAGCATTGCAGAGATTACCAGGGTATTTCAGAGACTGCAAGGGTATTTTAGAGACTGACAGAGCATTTCAGAGACTGCCAGGGCATTGCAGAGACTGATAGAGCATTGTAGAGACTGCCAGGGCATTGCAGAGACTGATAGAGCATTGCAGAGACTACCAGGGTATTTCAGAGACTGCCAGGGTATTGCAGAGACTACCAGGGCATTTCAGAGACTGCCAGGGCATTGCAGAGACTGACAGGGCATTGTAGAGACTGCCAGGGTATTGCAGAGACTACCAGGGCATTTCAGAGACTGCCAGGGTATTGCAGAGACTACCAGGGCATTTCAGAGACTGCCAGGGTATTGCAGAGATAACCAGGGCATTTCAGAGACTGCCACGGTATTGCTGTGACTGCCAGGTCATTGCAGAGACTGCCAAGGCATTGCAGAGACTGTCAGGGCATCCCCACCACTGCCAGTCATTGTAGAGACTGCCAGGGCATTGCAGAGACTGCCAGGGCATTGCTGCCGCTGGGAGAAATGCTCCAGCACTCTGTGCCAGCTGGAGAGATGGAAAGACAGGTAAGAATAGGATGAGGATCTGTTTATCAAAGCAGCCAAACTTCCAGGAAATTCCTTCAGAATTTCCCGTCACCTCGCCTTGCTGTTCACCTCCCAGAAATAGTTCAGAACATGAGGAGCCATTTTGCACCATAATGAATGTTGGGGTTTCGGGAATGTTGGCTGGCACGCCAGCTTTCCCCACCAAATCCAGCAGGATGGGATCAGTGCTCTGCTGATCCCAGCCTGAGCTGCACCTCGGGATGCCCGGAGCGAGCTGCCAGCGCTTGGCATTTGGGATGACACACTGGGTCCATGTCCTTCAGCAGCTCTTAAAGGCTGCGCTGTGCCTGGAGGAGCTGGGCAGCAGGCACAGTGCCCCGGGGACCCCGTTCCACAGCCAGACTAAATCCCATCCGAAACCTGCTGAGAATTAAGCTGATTTCCTCTGTCCTTCTTGCACTTCTAGAACTCCTCTCTTATTATTCCCTCCCTTGAGTTGTGCTTTCTCTCAACAAACCCAACTGCTTCAGCCTTTTCCAACAGATCATCTTTTCTCAGCTCTTTATTAGTTCTGGTTTCTGGAAATCTTGATTTCCACTCAAATCCTCTATGTTCTTGAGATTATGATGAATTTTTAGTGTTTATTATTGATATATTTGTGACTTCTAGTTTGTTGCTCTTAAAAAAATAATTATAGCCTTTAAAGTCCTTTTTATAAATCATTTGGGATAATGTGGAATAAGCAAAGCTGGAAGCAGATCACTATACAGTACAACATAGGCTGATCTATGAGGGGGAAAAAGTGTAGTCATTGATTTATAAACTCATTTGTTTGCCCCTACTTACTGATTGCTCTTATTTTCTTTTAAACTCATTTGTTTGCCCTTACTTATTGATTGCTCTTATTTTCTTTTAAACTCATTTGTTTGCCCCTACTTACTGATTACTCTTATTTTCTAACATCATCATGCACAATGGTGTCAATGATCTTACACCAAGCTGTACTCACTGGTAATTTTTCCATATTAAGCCAGCTCTTCTCATAAATGAATTTTAAAAATGCATTGTTATCTAAGTCATAGTTAAGAAATTTCCTCCAGACTCTCTCCAATATGGGATTTAGGCTGACTGAGCTATGGATCTTCGCCCTCCTTTTTTTCCTGGCTCTTCCCCTGTTGATGCCAAATACTCACTCTGTTCTGTTCCAGTGCCACCTTTGAAGACAATTCAAAGGTCAAACATTTCACCATTAGAAAAACTGAATTTTGAATAGTTCTGGACAGAATGTCCTGAGCCTAAAGCACCTCTGGTCCCTACTAATTTGGTCTTTTTTTATTCTGACCCACATTTATGCTAAGAGGCAGTTTTATTTTAACTAAACAATCAAGATTAGTCTTTTCTCAGGAAGGAATTCTCATCACTGATTATCTGAACTCTCTCCATTATCTGTTATTTCCCATTTTTAGCTTTTAGATAATAGAAGAGCAATGAGAGGAACTGAGTTTTTCATCACTTACACTTTCCAGCCTGTGAAGAAATTCACAGCAAGCTCAGAAATGCAAAGGCTCGGTGTCAAGATCCCCTTGATGCCAAGAAGGTTGGAACTTTGTCTAAAATGTTTCCAGATTAAAAAAAAAAAATCCATTTATATTCTGTTACTGATCTGTCATCTTAGACGTTCTTGTTAATTTATAGGCTGGAGCTTAAACAAGGAGGGGAGAAGCTTAAAAGAAAACGTAGTTACCAGCTGAGCTTTGCTGATCAGATTTAGCAGCTTGAAAGCCAATTAATTTTCTGTCCAAACCTCCGGCAGTCAAACTGGAAAGAAGATAGGGATGGGATGGGTGCCAGGTGGGTTTCACCAGGAGCTCACGCCTCAGGGAGAGCAGGAAGGAGAGAGATCTGGAAGATTCAGCTCAGAAGAGAAATGTTCTTTTGTTTCTCCCAATAAACCCTGAAATCCATAAGAAAGGCGATCAGCAGCATGGTTTGCAGGGTGGATGAGTTGTAGTCAAATAGGAAAGTGATAAATTTTTATTTTTTAATGGTTTAGAAGGAAAATGGTGTGTAATAAGTGTGTCCATATATTAAGATACTGAAGAGCTCTGTATTTCTGACCAGCACAATAATTATGGGAAGTTCCCTTTAAACAGGGAGAGATAAATGTATGATTGATTTCCATTTTCATTTTCAATTCCCATTTCCAATGTAGGTAGTATTTCCATTAGTGAAATACTATTTAACTTTGCAAGAGGAGAAGCTGACTTATTTTCAATGGATGTTTTAAACTTTCTGAAGTTACCATTTCAAGCCTAAACTCTAAAAAATAGATATTTAATTTATTTTACTTGGTTTATTTAAATATATATCCTCACCTATATTTGTGCAGCAAAACCAGAAGCTTTGTTGCTATTAGTAATTTTAAAAATTTAATCATTATAATCACACTGTTCATAAGCTCACCTAGGTTACTGTGGCCGTACTCACTGACTTTACACCTCAAATTCTAAATTCCTCTTATTATCCCAGAGATCCCACTTTATTAAAGGTTATTAATTGGAATGACAACCAATTCTATAAGAAATCAATCTAAAAAAATAAGAGTCATCATTCTGAACATATATTTTGGATTGAACTGCACTAAGCAGACCGTCATTGTTTTAAAAAGTGGAGTTTTACTCATTTTTGTTGGGTTTTATGAAGTTTTTAAATAGAGCAAACTGCTGCAACAGGAACACTTGATTCCCCGTGGGAAAAACCCTATCAAATTATTGTATCCCAAACTCTAAGCTCTGATGCTTAATAACAGTTGGATACACTGGCAGCATAAAGTAAGTGGAGATAATCCAAATCCAGATGCTTTAAAAGGGCTGCACCATTTCCCCAAGCACAAACAGCTAAAATGCAGTAACAGGCAGATGCTCCCCAGTAATTAGATTTGTGTCACTTTTCTTTATAAATAAATATCTGTGGGTGAATGTCTGGGTTGAGGCCCTTGGCAGACATCATTGTGAAACTCCGGGTTGTGTCATCACTACAGATGAGCGAGGATTTTAGAAACACTCAGCACGATATTTTAGAAAATGTCACTTCCTAAATCTCTTCTTCTCCCACATTTCTCTGTATAAACAGAGAAGCGTGAGAGTATCAGGGGAAAAAATAGGAGAGTGCTAAATATGATGGCAGAGCAGTGGTGAGACTTTGGAAAGCCTTTAGATGCTAAAGATGCAGATAGGCACCTTATGGGATTTTCCAAAATTCCTAAGCGTGTAAGGCGCTTACACCATGCTTAGGCACTCTGAAAATCCTGCTAAGGACATATCTGCATCTTTAGGGATCTAAATCTCACCCTGCATGTCCAGTTCCTCTCGTTCTTGGTTTTAAATCGTGTCACTGTGACACGTAGCACATTTGGCTTCGAGCTCAGGAAAGGGGGAAAGGAGGCTGGATTAGGTTTGAGAGGATTTAAAGATGAAACCATTGCACACTACTGGGGTAGAGATGGAAATGTCTCTTGTTCCAGCACTTCTCTTTATTATAAGCCCCACACTTTGTACAAGTGATCCTTTGTACATTCCATGCTTCATCTTTTTTTTAATTTTTTTTTAACAGAATAAAACAACAAGAAAGAAAAAGGGCTCAGTGTTCTCAGAAAAACTGAGTGTCAGCAATCAACGCTCATGTGGCCAAATAACAAAATAACATTGTAATTCTAGATCATATTAACATTATCTATTTACTAATTGGCATCAACAGCAAAGCTTTGAGTATGTTTTATATCAACATGGCCTTGAAATGTAACACATATTACCAGTATTATAATGCATTTGAAATGAAGACTTTATACTTTCTCAAAGTTCTTTATAGAACTCGCTTATTTCTAAGCTTTTCTTTTCAGCCTGTTTACATTCTGAGGCAAAATGGAAATAACATTGCAAGTATATTCTACTAAGATTTTAGCACAAAAGCATTTTTTTTAAGTAGAAAGGGAAAAAAAAAAAAAATATAACCAGAAATTGGTTAACATGAAATAATCTGAGGTGATTTTTACATTTAAATAATAAATTTCTATATTTCATATAAATGTTTTTTTTGCTATGTTTAATGGGTCTTAAGCCCTTGAGTCACAGAATCTAAAATAGATATTCAGAATTGTTTTTATCAACTACTACTGCACTATGTACTTAAACACTAAGTAACTGCTTAACTCGTTGGAAATTTCCTGAACCAACAGAAATATTTATACAAGAAACAGATATCACCACACTCATCACAGTTTGTTTTCATACACAAACACAACTTCGGCTCTGCATTTCTGTAACAAACTCCGTTTAGCTTTGCAGACTATTGGCAATGACAGCGAATCTCTGTTTCAGCTTCTCTCTTTTCTGCTTTAAGTGATTTTCTATGGCCCTGGCTTCTTTTAAGATCTCATCAAGTTCCTGGACATAAGAAGAATCCAACGCTATTCTTGCACTAAAGTGAAGAAATCTGTAGTTAAAATCAATGCTAATGCCATTAAGTTTCTCACTACTTTTATGTTTTTCTTAAAAATGGGTTGTCTATCAATACCCAGTTTCTGACCAAATTAATCCTCTCTTGTAATAAAAACTCTGCTGTAATAAAACCATTTTTCTTCCAAGGTCTGTTTGTCAGTTTTCAGTGTTCATTTCCCTAAACTGCAGCCACCCATCCATCTTATCTAGAGCGTTTTAAAATTGCTGTGCAAATAGCACAAAGTTAACTTGCCTTATAGTGTCAGCATATTTTGATAACAAGTTATTCATTTCTTTGCTGATCTCTGTTAAGAGAGAAAAAGATAATTTTATTTAAATATTTGGATTAATCTCAACATGAAATTACCTCATTCTGTGCTTCCAGTATATTTACTACATCACCATTTAAAACTTTTTCCAGTGATTCAATCTTGAGAAGGGACTGTGAATCCTCAGAAGGAGCCAAATCTGTTTTGTCAGACAGCTGAGAATTTTCTGAAGCTTCACTCTAACAACAGAGCACATTAGGAAAAATACAGTTCTAGGATTTAAAACAAGCTTTGCACAGAGTTTGGCTGAGAGAAAGAAGAGGTTTAAAAAGACCTTGAGGGTGTTTTTGGAGAAAATGTGAGTGGGTTCACAGTTTTGTGAGTGTCTTGAGGAGTGGGTGGAAGTACCAGATTGAGACCTCTGTATATACACATTTATTTATATATACGCACATATTTATATCTATATACACACATATTTATATATGTGATATTTATATATATGATACACTATATAGTAATATCTGTAGTATATATATCTCAGTAAAAGCTGGTGCACTTCAGGAGCTCACTCTCAAGAAGTTCTACATAAGTATGTCCCAGTGCTTACCCAGTTTTATTTGGCTTAAAATCCTTGGAGAAACCGCAGTTTTACCCACACAAAAAAAGTAATTTTTGTTCCCCTAAACCTCCCAAAAGTGCCGTGGATCTCTGTTCCTTCAATGCAGAGGACATGGGATGGGGGGGGGGGGGTGTCCTCCCTCACACAGCACCGCTCACCTCCACATTTTTGCTTTTATTTATATTTTTATCTCCTTTTTGCGATTTGCTCGCCATGGCTGGCACACGAGAAGCACGAGGTGTTTGCTGAGTCGTCACACTGGGGGAGATGTTTAAATAAAAACCTGTAAAACGTGCCGCTGGTTGCTCTGCAAGGGCGCTCCTCTCACGGGAGAGGCGGCGCCTCAGGGGGCTGGGGGATGGCG